GGGACCGGGAAGAAGCACCTGACTCCTGGCTTCAGATTGGTGCAGTTCAACCGTGAACCAGTGGACAGAAGACCTTTCTCTCTGTTTCTCCCTCTCACTGTCTGTAACTCTACCTCTCAAATAAATAAAAATCTTAAAAAAAAACAAAAACAACTGAAGTTGAATACAACCAGTTCTTCCCCCAAATGGCTGCAATGACTGGTGCTGGGCCAAGCCAAAGCAGGAGCTAAGAACTTCATCCAGTTCCCCTATGTTGGTGACAGTACTTGGCCATCTTCTGCTGCCTTTCCAGGCACTTTAACAAGGAGCTGGATTGGAAGCAGAGCAGCCAAGACTGTAAACAAAGGCTGTGATTCCAGATGTGGTATTGCAGGCAGTGATAACATGCTATGCCACAGTGTTGGCTCCCTGTTAAATGACCAGCTTTGTTTTAAATATTTATTTATTTATTTGAGAGTCAAAAGAGAGACATAGAATTCCCATCTGCTTGTTCACTCTTCAAGTGCCCATAATGGGTGAGCAGAGCACTGTGGGGTTGAAACTAGGAGCCCCAAACTCAATCCAGGTCTCCCATGTGGGTGGCATCACTGCTGCCTCCTAGTGTCCATGGCAGGATGAGGAGTCAGGAGCTGAAAGTGGGTATCCAACCCAGGTACTCCGACAGGGGACCTGGGCATCTTAGCTGCTAGGCCAAATGCCCATCCCTGAAAAATGGCCAACTTTGTTAAGGCAAAGGGTGGTGGGTATTCAGCATACTGTTAAGTTACCATATGAGATGCCCATATCCCATATTGGAATTTCTGAGTTCAAAATCTGGCTCTGCTTCTGGTTCAACTTTGTGCTAATGTGCACCCTGGGTGGCAGCAGGTGATGGCTCAAGTACTTTGGACTCCATCACCCATATGGGATACCCAGATTGAGTTCTGGGTTCCAGGCTTTTGCCTGGGCCAGTTCCGGCTCTTGTGGGCATTTGGGGAGTGAACCAGCAGATAGGTTTCTCTTTGCCTTTCAAGTTAGTAAAATAAACTTAAAAAAATTGAGAGAGTCTGAGAAGTACTAACGATATCTCTGCTGTTTTCAAATTCAATTATTGTGCTTTTACTTGACTCAAAATTTTGCAACACTTCAAGATATTCCACTGTGAAAAAGTTGTGCTTCAAATCTAAGGCAAGAGTCTGGACCCTGTTTTTCTGTATTCTTCAATATTCTTTCTGTATTTTTCCTGCTCTCCCCTCTCCCACTCCTCCCACCTAGAAATTTAGCAGTCTATATTCTGTCCCCTCCTCCCCTACCATCTCTTAGGCTATGGCTTAACAGTGTCATCTTACTTTATCCTTTATGAAATATCAGTTGCCCTGATTAGAAGGAAGAGCTCAGTGTGTTGGTGTAATAGTGAGGCATAGGCTACAGTTAGGAGTAGTGTGCTGTGGGATGAGAAAAAGAAGAGCCGATTCTTCTTAGGGTGATGAATCACTGCATGTGTCGATGGGAGGTAGATTGCTTATTAGGAACAGACTCAAATTATTGTTATGTCTTTGTAGCATACACAGTGGAAGCAAAAGGTCTAATATTATGCAGGAAAGAAACAACAGCAAGTCCTTGCGGATGGCTCGAGTCAGTGCTGAAGGTGGAGGCTGGAAGTGGTTTGGGAGGGAACGGCAGAGCGTGACCATGTGTGCCAGGCTAAGGAATTTGGCCTTTAACCTGGCGGAGAAAAGCAGTAATAGATTCCAAATGGAATATATTCTAGTAGTTAGCAAAAAGAAATAGTGAATTTATTTTTTTTCTGGTTATAAAAGGAATCTCTGGTTATTGTAAAATGAAAACCAATAATTAAAAAATGTAATGAAAAATCCCTTCTAATCCCACTCAGAGAGAACCACTGCTTTGCAGTTTATTGTCTATATTCTCTGTCTCCCCTTCTGTAACTTTGCCTTACAAATAAAATAAAAAAATCTTTGGGGCTGGCATTGTGGTGTAGCGAGTTAAGCCACCGCCTGCAATGCCGGCATCCCATATGGGATTTCTTCTATGTCTCTCTCTCTAACTCTACCTTTCAAATAAATAAATGAATTTTTTTTCTTTTAAACCAGTTTACTGTATAGATTCATGTAGTGGAATTTCATGGTCAGTTTTGCAGCAGCATGGGTGGCGTAGAGGATGAAGGGGTGAGAGGTGGGCAGGAGGCTGCTGCAGAGGTCTTTCGTGGCAGCTGTGGAGTAAGGAAGGGGCAGGGCTGAGGAAAAGTTCAAGGAATTCACAGGAGGTAGGCGTCACTGGTAGGACGGCTACATGGGATGTAGGATAGACAAATGGCCAGATCAGTAGTTAAGTGGATTTCCCAGCACCTGGGGAAAATTTGTGGCATCATTTGTGAACACACAAAGGGGAACCAATAGTGTGATCCCAGGGTGGAAATCTCTGCTTTTGTTCTACTTTTCCCCCTGTGTTTCCAGGCTTATTTAGAAGGGAAGATGAAAGTAAGAATTCAGTTCTGTTTTGACAAGTAAGAGCCATTATATCAAGCATTTTTCTCTCACTAACTATGTTTCTCCCTTGTATTAGTTATGGATAGCAGTTGCTTCTGCTTAGGTGTGTAAACAGTTCCATTAGCTTTTACACTTCACAAAGTTCATGTTGGAGTCTGTAAACTTTTATTGTCAGTACTTGGCATCCGGGTGGAGGGAGGGAGCCACTTGGGTAAGTTATTGACAGAAGATCTTTAATTTTTAATTTATTTTCAAGGCACAGAGACAGTGAACTTCCATCTGCTGGTTCATTCCCTGGATGCCTGCAGTAGTCAGGGCTGCGTCAGTCTGGAGCCTGGAGCATGGAACTCAATCCAGGTCTCTCAAATGGGTGGCAGAGACCTAAGTACCTAAGCTATCACCTGCTAAATTTTATGGTGCATTTTAGAAGGAAGTTGGAGTTGGAAGCAGACCTGAAACTCAGACCAACCACTCAGATATGGGATGTGAGGTGTACTGGGTGGCGTCTTAGCTGTTGTGCCAAATGCTGGCCCTGGCAGAGATGTTTTGACTGTATTTAGAGTTGATGAAATCTTCAAGTAGAATTTTGGCTTTCACCAGGTTCTTCTATATATCTCTCCAATGGGAATGGGGCTGTAGAATTTACTTCCTAAAGTGCTTGCTGTATTGTCTTCTTCATCATGCAGTCTTGGCATATACTCTGAGTCTGGGACAGTAAGGGTCCTTAGTATCAGCTAACTGAAAGGTGATGGCTGGGTAATTGTAATGGTTGGGGATTACAGGACTAAGGCATTCATTCCCGGGTGAGAAAGGCTTAGGTCACTAATGTCAGCCTCTTGCTTTATTTATTTATTTATTTTAAGATTTATTCATTTATTTGAAAGGCAGAGAGAGAGAGAGAGGTCTTCCAACTCCTGGTTCACTCCCCAAATGGGCACAAAGGCCGGAGCTGCACTGATTTGAAGCCAGGAGCCTGGAGCTTCTTCTGGGTCTCCCACATGGGTGCAGGGGCCCAAGGACTTGGGCTGTCTTCTACTGCTTTCCCAGGCTATAGCAGAGAGCTGGATTGGAAGTGGAACAGCCGGGACTCAAACTGGTGACCTTATGGGATGCTGGCACTACATGCAGTGGCTTTACCTACTGCCACAGCGCTGGCCCCAGCTTCTTGCTTTAAGATAGGCTTAAACATAAACTTTCAAACATATAAAAATTTCTGAATTTAAAAACATTCCCACAGAAGGGAATTTCCCACTGTTTTGGTTTATCTTCGCATTGCACAATCCTTACAGTTGGACTTTTTTTTTTTTTTTTTTAATTCTATCTAATTGAAATGCCTCGTGTTTCTATTTCAGGTCTTTTTTTTTTGCACTTTTAAGTTATGTCCTTTCATGAACCTCTTAGAAAGAGTTATATTAAATTAGCTTTTTTTTTTCCCTAAAAAAATAGCTTTTTCCTTAGGTCACAGTCTTTTTAGCTTCTTCATTGTTACTATTTTTACCTGCCTTGCCTCTTAATGGACATTACTACTTATCTGAGGTGTTATTTTAAATATTATGTAGTGACAAATTGGCTTTTCCTAGGCTCACTAATTGGAATTAGAATTATATAAGCAGATAACAGAATTTAAAGAGAGTGACCCCTGCAAAGCTGTATACTTTTTATTATTATTATTTTTATCTTTATTTTTTATTTTTTTTGACAGGCAGAGTGGACAGAGAGAGAGACAGAGAGAAAGGTCTTCCTTTGCTGTTGGTTCACCCCTCAATGGCCGCTGCGGCTGGCACACGGCGCTGATCCAAAGCCAGGAGCCAGGTGCTTCTCCTGGTCTCCCATGCAGGTGCAGGGCCCAAGCACTTGGGCCATCCTCCACTGCACTCCCTGGCCACAGCAGAGAGCTGGCCTGGAAGAGGGGCAACCGGGACAGAATCCGGCGCCCTGACCGGGACTAGAACCCGGTGTGCTGACGCTGTAGGCGGAGGATTAGCCTGTTGAGCCGTGGCGCTGGCATTATTATTATTTTTTAATTCGAGAGGCAGAGAGAGCTGATGTTTTCTGGCTCACTACCCAGATTATGGCAATGGCTAATTCTGGATTGGGCTGGAGCTAAGAACCAGGAACTCAGTCCAGGTTTTCCATGTGGAGCAGGAACCCATTTACTTAAGCCATGACTGCCGCCACCCAGAAGGAAACAGAAGTCAGATGCCAGAGGCAGTAGTATAAGCCAGGTGTGCCAATATGGGATACGGGCATCCTAGGTACTAGGCCAAAATCCTCCTTCTTTTCTCCTGCTTCTACTGGAGAGAATTAAAGAAAAGATCATGAGAAACATTTTACTGCTAGTTTTTATTTATTTTTTAACATTTTATTTCAGAAAACTTGAGTTTCCATTCCATCAGTTTCTAGTCTTTAAAGTCAAGTTTGCCCCCCTTCTTGTGTTTTTTTTTTTTTTAATTAAAAATTTTTTTTAATTTTTTGACAGGCAGAGTGGACAGTGAGAGAGAAAGACAGAGAGAGAGAAAGGTCTTCCTTTGCTGTTGGTTCACCCTCCATTGGCCGCTGCGGCCGGCACACCGCGCTGATCTGAAGGCAGGAGCCAGGTGCTTCTCCTGGTCTCCCATGGGGTGCAGGGCCCAAGCACTTGGGCCATCCTCCACTGACTCCCGGGCCACAGCAGAGAGCTGGCCTGGAAGAGGGGCAACTGGGACAGAATCCGGCGCCCCGACCGGGACTAGAACCCCGTGTGCCGGCGCCGCAAGGCGGAGGACTAGCCTAGTAAGCCGCGGCGCCGGCCCCCCCCTTCTTATTAATTTTTGAGTTTTTATTTTTTGAAAGATTTATTTTAAAGACAGAGTGATAGTGGAAGAGAGCTTCCCTCCGGTGATTCATTCCCTGTTGCCTGCAACATCTAGGGCTTGGCCAGGCCAAAGCCAGGAGCCAGGAACTCCATCCACATCTGCCCCGTGGGTGGCATGAACCCAAGTACTTGGGCCATCTCCTGCTGCCTCCCAGGCATATTAGCAGGAGGTAAGATTGCAAACAGAACCAGACCTCAACCCTAGGCACTTCCATATGGGATGTGGGTGTCCCAAGTGGTGGCTTAAACTATTGCATCACGACATCTGCCCCATTCCTCACTGTTTAAAAGGCAGCTTTCTTGGACCAGCCAAAAATACGTAAATAGTGATGAAGCACATCCTCTGCTTACTGGTGAGGTTTTTTTTTTTTTCTTTTCTTTTTTTGATTTATTTATTTGAGAGGTTACAGAGAGAGAGGGAGGGAGAGAGGGAGAGGTCTTCCATCTGCTGGTTTACTCCCCACATGGCTGCAACAGCTGGCCAATCTGAAGCCAAGAGCCAGGAGCCTCCTCTGGATCTCCCATGTGGGTACAGAGACACAATCACTTGGGCTATCTTCTGGTGCTTTCCCAGGCACATTAGCAGGGAGCTGGATCAGAAGTGGAGCAGCCAGGCTGCTGCTGGCGCCACAGGTGAGGCTTAACCTACTATGCCACAGTGCTTAGCTCCCTGGTGAGTTTTAATGGATAACTGTCTCTGGGTCTCTGTAGTTTACAGAATGGAAGAGTTAATATGTAATGGACAGTGGTTGTGAGATTCAGGCATTTCCCAGCACGGAACCTCCGTGTATAACTTCCACAAATTTTGTACTTCTTTATCTTTACAATGAGGGTGATAGCTCTAAATCAAGGTAATATACATAAAGAACCTAGGGCAGTGCTTCACAGTGGGCATTAGATAACACTGGCTCTTTTTACTTGCCTAAAAAACTTCAGGTCATAAAAAGTAGGAAGTAACAACTTCTCCTTTTCTTGAAGTGTTCATTTTTCCTTTAAATATATTTAGAGAATAAATTCCATCCCCTCTAAGTTTTCTCAGCTTCTGAAGGTGGGAGTAGGCACTCTTCCCCTGCACTCACAGTAGCGTGGGCCCTGCCCTTTCCAGCAGCTCATCATTCTGTGTTTTGGAAGTTGAATACAATTCCTGGTACACAGTGGATCCTCAGTAATCATCTGTCTTAGAGTTGTCTTGAAAGGAGATAAAGTGTTCTTTTTTGCCTTCTTGATCACCTGAAAAACTGTAGTAGAGAAAAAAACGACTTTATTTATTTACTCAGGGAACTTGGTTTGCTTTTGAAGAATAGCTGATATTTTATGGATAAGGAATTTAGGTATTAGCAACTGGCTTAACATCTTAATGCCTTTTAGTTTGTTCCTTGATGTTAAAATTTTTTGAATTTTTAAAAAGATTTATTATTTGAAAGGCAGAGTTACAGAGCAGCAGAGAGAGAGAAGTGTTTTCCATCTGCTGGTTCACTCCCCAAATGGCCACAACAGTTGGAGCTGGGGCAATCTGAAGCAAGGAGCCTGGTGCTTCTTCCGGTCTCTTGGGGGCATGTGGGGCCTAAGGACTTGGGCCGTCTTCTACTGCATTCCAGGCCATAGCAGAGAGCTGGATTGGAATTGGAGCAGCCAGGACTGGAACCAGTGCTCATATGGGATGCCGGCACTGCAGATAGCAGCTTTACCTGCTATGGCAATTGAAATGAAGGCAATGGTATGCTTTTTAGTCCTTGAAAATATGAGATTTTAGCGCTTAAGAATGACTATGTCTCTGAACTTCATTCATTCTTCCAACAACTACTGAGTTCTGTGTGCCCTAGACCTTGTGCTGGGCTGTGGAAAGCCAAAGAATTACAGTTGATCCCAGTCCTCAGACGCTTTCATTTTAGTGATAAAGACAAAGCCAAAATTACACTGTAGCTGCATAGGCAAGGTAAACACTTAGAAAGATCATGCATTTGTATTTGCTGCATATGTATGTGTTCTGTATCTGTGTATGTCCCAAGTATGGCAGCAGAACTTTTTGGAGGATCTGATACTTAAAGGACACACAGAAGAGGTTTCAGGGAAGCGGCGTGTGAAGACATGTGTCTCCCAGGTGCAGGGACCGGGTGGTATGAGAAGCCTATAACAAGTTCTGTTGGTGGGAAGGCTGCAGAAATCAGAGACCACAGATGTCCTGAAAGGACCTGTGTGCAGGAGAAAGATTTTGATGATTCTGATTTGTAGTTTAGAAAGATCACTGATAGTAATGTAGAGGTGAGTGTATGAGGGTACTTAAAAGCATTCAGAGAAATGGAATTAAAAGGTAAGTTTATTTTATAGTAAAAAAATTTTGAGAACCATTCATAGCTTTTTCCTAATGTGCATTTCCATGAACTTTTTTTTTTTTTTTTTTAAATTTTTTGACAGGTTGAATGGACAGTGAGAGAGAGAGAGAAAGGTCTTCCTTTGCCGTTGGTTCACACTCCAATGGCCGCCGCAGCTGGCGCGCTGCGGCCGGCGCACTGCACTGATCCGATGGCAGGAGCCAGGTGCTTCTCCTGGTCTCCCATGGGGTGCAGGACCCAAGCACCTGGGCCATCGTCCACTGGCTTCCCAGGCCACAGCAGAGAGCTGGCCTGGAAGAGGGGCAACCGGGACAGAATCCGGCACCCCGACCGGGACTAGAACCCGGTGTGCCGGCGCCGCAAGGCGGAGGATTGGCCTAGTGAGCCTCGGCGCCGGCCATCCATGAACTTTTTGAAGATCCCTCATGGGCATGTATATATTTCAGATTTTTTTACACCAAAATAAACTTGTCTTTTTTTTTTTTTTTAAGATCTGTTTATTTGAGAGGCAGAGTTACAGATAGAGGGAGGTACAGAGAGAGAGAAATCTTCCATCCACTGGTTCACTCCCCAGATGGCCGTAATGGTTGAAGCTGGGCTGATCCGAAGTCAGGAGCCAGGAGCTTCTTACAGGTCTTCAACGTGGGTGCAGGGGCCCAAGCACTTGGGCCATCTTCCACTGCTTTCCTAGGCCATTTTCAGGGAGCTGGATTGGAAGTGGAGCAGCCAGGACTTGAACTGGAGCCCATGTGGGATGCCAGCATCACAGACAGAGGCTTAACCTATTATACCACAGTGCTGGCCCCAGTGAACTTACCTTTTAATTGCATTTTCCATGGACTTTTTGAAGTATGCTAGTGTTAGATTTAGGTTCATCTTTTCTACAGACTTGGTCTCAGCAAAAACAGAGGTTTAGTTATTTGTTACACTCCAGTACAGTTTGATATGATGACGACTCTGGGAAAATCAAAGATGTTACTTAGTCTCTTCTACTTGCTCTACTGTTCTGTACATCGCTTCCATTACTTTATGGTTCAGAATGACAGCTGGAGTATCATCTGCGTTGTCCGTCCAAGTTATAGGCACACTCCCAGCTATCTCCAACCCCTGTTAAGTAGCTTTACTTGAAGTCCCATCCAGTGACTTCTGTTTCCAGCTTGGGACCAATTCTAGTAGCAAGTAAGATTGGAAAGTGCACTTTTCCCCAGGTGCATGTCCCGCAGAATACAACTGAGGTCTGTTCCTAAGGGGAGAAAGAATATAGTCTGGGCAGCTGGTAGTGTCTGGTAGAAAGAGGGGAAAGGATGTAGGGAGACCAATTTAGTATATCACCTGAGTAGTAATGCATATAATTCCTTATGCCAAAGAGATTTGGTTGAGATGCAATAGTATAACATCAGAGCTGTTCTGCTGGGGAAGTAGAGGACTAAAGCTGTTATTTTGACACCATAGCTGTTTAAGTTTGTGAAGCCAAAATCACGCTTAATTCTTTTAACCTTTGAGTTTACAAAAGCTTCCCAGGATGCTGTTAGTATAATTAAGTGGTTTAGTACCAAAGACTTGACATTTGTAAGAAAGGCATTGATAGGATTCACTTTTTAAAGTAAAGTTATCTTTATTTTATTTTATTTTATTTTATTTTATTTTATTTTATTTTATTTTATTTTATTTTATGTGTGTGTGTGTGTTTGTGTGTTTGAGAGGCAGAGTTAGGGAGAGAGAGAAGGAGAGACAGAGAGTGAGAGACTTTCCATCTGCTGGTTCACTCCCCAATGGCTGCAACTGCTGGGGCTGAGCTGATCCAGAACCAGAAGCTAGGAGCATCTTCTGGGTCTCCCACATTGGTACAGGGGCCTGAGCACTTGGGCCATCTTTTGCTGCTTTCCCAGGCACATAGCAGGGAGCTGGAATGGGAAATGGAGCAGCCAGGATACAAATTGGCACCCATTTAGGATGCTGGCATTGCAGGTGGCGGTTTAACCCATTCTGCCCAGCGCAGGTCCCAAAGGATTCACTTTGTGTGTGTGTGTGTTTTTTTTTTTTTTTTTTTTGAAAGGCAGAGTGGACAGTGAGAGAGAGAGAGAGAGAGAAAGGTCTTCCTTTGCCATTGGTTCACCCTCCAATGGCCGCCGTGGCTGGTGCACTGCGGCCGGTGTACCGCGCTGATCCGATGGCAGGAGCCAGGTACTTATCCTGGTCTCCTATGGGGTGCAGGGCCCAAGCACCTGGGCCATCCTCCACTGCACTCCTGGGCCACAGCAGAGAGCTGGCCTGGAAGAGGGGCAACTGGGACAGAATCCGCCACCCCGACAGGGACTAGAACCCGGTGTGCCGGTGCCGCAAGGCAGAGGATTAGCCTAGTGAGCCACGGCGCCGGCCGATTCACTTTGTTTTTTAAAGATTTATTTTATTTTATTTGAAAGACAGAGTTACAGAGAGAGACAGAGACAGAGAGGTTTTCCCTCCGCTGATTCACTCCCCAGATGGCCGCAAGTGCTTGAGCTGCGCCAATCTGAAGCCAGGAGCCAGGAGCTTCTTCTGGGTCTCCCATGCGGGTTGCAGGGGCCCAAGGACTTGGGCCATCTTCTACTGCTATCCTAGGCCATAGCAGACAGCTGGATTGGAAGTGGAGCAGCCAGGATTACAACCGCGCCCATATGGGATGCCGGTGCTTCATGCCAGGGCGTTAACCCGCTGTGCCACAGTGCCGGCCCCAGGATTCACTTTCTAAAAAAACTATATAGAATGATGTTTTTAATGACGTGACAGTATACATTCCACTTTCATATTATCCCAGTACTTATAATGTCCCTTGCCAAGTCTTTAAAGATTTATTTTTATTATTTATTTGAAAGAGTTAGAGAAAGAGGGAGGGAGGGAGAGACAGATCTCTCCACTGGTTCACTCCCCAAATGGCCACAATGACTAGGGCTGGGCCAGGTCAGAGCCAGGAGCTTCTTCAAGGTCTCCCATGTAGGTGGGCCATTTTCCACTGCTTTCCCAGGCTCATTAGCAGAAGGCTGGATCAGCAGTGGCAGCTGGGACTCGAACTGGAACCCACATGAAATGCCAGTGTAGCAGACCGTGGCTTAATCCACTCTGACACAGTATTGGCCCCTTAGCCATGTCTTAACCACTAGCCAGATGCCTGCCACTCCCACTCACCAGTGTTACTGGACTGTTATTTGGATGTATGTTCTTTAATTTTCAGAACTTTATTTCGTTTATAAAATGAAAATATTTCTTTTAGTTTTGTATTATAAACATTCCCCATTTTGTTAGATATTTTGTTCAACAGTCACCTTGCTTTTAATTTTCCAAGAAAACATTGCAAGTGATGACAGCAGGGATGAGGAGCCTCTTCTGTTAAGAGCCATTTGGATGTTTATAACATCATTTCAGGCCATGCAAAATGATTAACTTAAAGATTAGCCTGCATAGATGTATTGAATTTGGAGTCCCACCTGCAGCTGCCTGGCAAGACCAGACCAAATGATTTTGTGGGTCTTATATGTCCTGTGGGCTGGATGTTCTGAACCCCCTGCATGTTCAGATACTTGAGAACATTTAAAATGTTGGCTTCTTACATGAAGATAGACATCTGGTTGGTGTGATTTTAATCCCACAGGCTGAATGATGCAGCGACTAAGAGCATGGCTCTGGTAGTGGTGTGGGTGTGAATTGCCACTTCTGGAAGGGTAGTAATAGTACCTGTCTCCTGGTTGTGAGGCCAAGTGAGTTAATGCCTGTAGAGCCCCCTCTTAGACTTGTGAATGGCACATGAGAAATAATACACATATTTTAGTTTTATTGGATGTGATTTTTCCTTTTGGTTTTTAGAATTACATGCAATATGCAAGTAGTTGTCATGTCTCAAATATAGTATGTCACAAGCACTAGCGTAGAGGAGGGGGTTGTCCAGAAGTTTTTTGGGAATTAAGAGGAGGTCTCTCTGAGGCAGGTTGTGCTGGGCAAATTGCCCAGTTCATTCTGTGGTATAGTCAGCAACTGAGGGACTGTGGCCTTATGCCTCTCATTTAGCCTTGACAACTATACCAGGCTCCTTTGGCCAGCTCAGCCTTTTTGCTTTGCTTTGTTGGATTTTCTCACACGGTTTCCCACCCCTGCCGCCACCCCCAACTTCCTTTGCTGAGCATTCCCTCTATTTAATAATTTTTATTAAGTTGCTAATTTAAGTCAAGTGCACTGGCTTAGATTTTTGCAGAACACATAGTTCTGATATTTAAAGCATTTTTGCTATCTTATTTTGTTTGATATTTAGTATAAATCTGAGGGAGCATGAAGGTGTCTTCATTGAATAACTGATTGTAGTGAAAGAGTAAGTGTCTGTATCATAAGACAATTAAGTTTTCTCACTTGATCTTGAACTCAAGTCACCTGACTTCGGGACCAACGTTTTATACTGTTTATTCCTTCACATACTGTTGTGTTTTAAGACAATGCTTTGTTCCTTCTTTTTAATTATTTGATGATACTTTTAAAGATTTATAAATATTGCCTGAAGATAGCATGTCATCCTTTTTACATTTAGTAACTAATAAAATTTACCTTATTCCTTTTTCTCATAACCCGCTATATCTTGTAGTCTTTTATCCCTACCACCAGAAAAGACTGAAACAAAATCTGAGGCCTAAATATTTTACTTGAGTACGTTCTTAATTTTTTACGTGGATGTTTTCTGGAAAGCCTTTCATGTTTCATGCTTATTTTTATTTTCTAATATTGGAGCAAGGTAAACTTTCTCCATGCTGCCTAGTGTTTATAGAGCACCTTGCTCATTTCAACATTACTGTCAGAATTGGATTATGTCTTCCCCATTGGGATAGCTTTACAGTGCTCCTTTTCCCTTTCTTCCTCTGCCTTTGTCCTCTTCTGGGGCTGTTTTTTAATTGTTTATTTTCTCTATTCCCAACAATTGCTGGTCCTAAGAAAATTATGTATCTTGAGCTGTAAGGCCCACTACACCCCATTTTGTGAAGTTTATTTTTCTTTAATTAATTTATTTTATATTCTCTTTGTATTTCTTGGTGTTCTCACATATTTTTAAAAACAGAATTGCTGGCTGGCGTCGCGGCTCAATAGGCTAATCCTCCACCTAGCGGCACCGGCACACCAGATTCTAGTACCGGTTGGGGCGCTGGATTCTGTCCCGGTTGCTCCTCTTCCAGTCCAGCTCTCTGCTGTGGCCCGGGAGTGCAGTGGAGGATGGCCCAAGTGCTTGGGCCCTGCACCCCATGGGAGACCAGGAGAAGCACCTGGCTCCTGCCTTCGGATCAGCGCAGTGCGCTGGCCGCAGCACGCCAGCCGTGGTGGCCACTGGAGTGTGAACCAACCGCAAAAGGAAGACCTTTCTCTCTCTCTGTCTTTCTCTTTCACTATCCACTCTGCCTGTCAAAAAAAAAAACAAACAAAAAAAAAACAAAAAAAAAACCAGAATTGCTACTTTCAATATATTCATACTTTGTTGTTTTAACTTTTTCCGGTAGTGTAATTCACTCTTTTGGTAAGCATATAAATTAGTTAAGGTTCAGCCTTGAATCTTTTCATAAAATTGGCTGCATAAGATATAATGAACTATGAATATTACCAATATATTATTGATTTGCTCATTGTCAAATCTAAAATTTGACTTCCTTGGCAGATATGTAGACTTGTAATAGGCATTTGGCATTTTATGTTTTGGGCAGTGCAACTGTAAATCTACATAAACTTCTCTGCCTTTTGCCTCTGCTGTGTTCATAGATTCCAGGAGGGCTTCGTGTATGGACCTCAAGCGTTGGAGGTAGCAGACTTTTCAGCAGAAGGTAAAGCAGAGTGTTGCCTTCTGGTGTCATTGTGTGTGTGTGCTGGGATGGGTATATGATAGGCGAGACTTTTTTATAGGTGTCATCGCAATATAATTTATAATGATGGACTAAATGAGTCACTTTCACAAAACTTAAAACCTAGTTAAAAACCTGTACAATTCTTTTCAGTATTACTAAACTGCATAAAAATAGGAAGCTTTAGGTAGGATTAAAGAGTATAAATTTCACTTTCTCTGCCATTTAATAAAGAGTAGGAGTGATAAAGAAAAGAGAGCATTAATGTAATGTATAATATGTACTGTGCAATTTTCTCAGACCTAGCTTCACTATGATCTCTTCCTGGGAACTTGTCCAAGTCATTATTCATATGTGTATCCTTCACTACTGCTGCTTTTACTGAGAGATTGCTTCACAATAGAGAGGCTGTGGATCCACAGACTCATGGCTGGAGGGTAGGCATTCCTGCTGCAGGCTCCATGGGCTAGAAATGTTGGCTTCCAATATGCTAATTACCTTTCTCTTCAGAACTCATTAATATGCTTTACTCTCAAGTTAGTTCTTGCTTCAGTAGAGAAACAAATACAACCCACGTACTTATAAAATATATTTTTATAGAGACCTTCTTATGAGTTACTTTTAAAGAAAATAATGTGATTAGAGATCAGGAATTTGGACATACTTTCATTGGGTAATTCTTTGATTTTTTTTAAAATGGAAATATTTTGCCATTTATGTTTCAGATATGGAAGATACTGCTTTCTGTGAATTTTTGCAAGCAACCATGAACTTTCTTCAGATAGTATTTGAGTAGAGATTTTTTTTTAAGATCTAAGGCAGCTAAACAGTACTGTACTCTTAGATGTAAATTTAATAATGTATCTAATGTTTAGATATATTCTGACTGAGAGCTAGAGGAGTGATTTTCTTATGAATTCTGGCAATTACATTTGTTTAACTAGGAAGTAGATACACAATACATCCAGGATGTGTATCTTATGTGAGGTTGGGTAGCAGCTATTCATTAAATCTCTGACCATGTGTCCAACACAGGATCATTCTATTTTAGTCAGCCAAGTTTCACTGTTTTGTTTTGTTTTTTTTTTTTTCTTTTTTCACTTCCTCCTCTTCAGAGAAGCTGAAGAGAGCTAAGCTTCAGGCTGTTTCTTGAGGTAAGCTACAATTTTACCTCCTAAGCCCTTTTGCCTTTCTTTTACTCTTTTCATCAGCCTTGTTGAGCCATGTTTTCTGTTTACTAGTGACAGATTGCAAGCTTTCGGGCCAGTTGGCTGTTTTCATCACAGTAGAATGACACTCTTTTTTAAAGATTTTTAAGTTTCTTTTTTTAAAGATTTATTTTATTTATTTGAGAGGCAGAGTCACAGACAGAGGGGGAGACCAGAGGAAGGTCTTCCATCTGCTGGGTTACTTCCCAAATGATTGCAACTGGCTGATCCGAAGCCAGCAGCTTCCTCTGGGTCTCCCATGTGGGTGCGAGGGTCTAAACCCTTTGGCCATCTTTCACTGCTTTCCCAAGCCGCAAGCAGGGAGCTGGATTGGAAGAACAGCTGGGACTTAAACCAGCACCCATTTGGGATACTGGCGTCGTAGACAGAAGCTTAACCTATTAAGCCACAGTGTGGAATTACGAACTCTTAACATTGCTTTAGATAATATGACTGTGGTTTGTTTTGTTATCTCTTTAGAATTTCAATAGATTATCCATAGGAAGACTCCCCATACAGTCTCTCCCCTTAGTTTCTATGAGAAAGATGGGATGTTATGGATGATTATTAAAACATTTTGCTAATTTATTTGAGAGATGGAGCGACTCAGCCTGAGACTGGAGCTAGGAAGCAGGAACTCAGTTCAGGTCTTCCATATGAATGACAGGGACCCAACTATTTGAGCCATAACCTGTTGCCTCCCAAGGTCTGCATTAACAGAAAACTGGAATTGGAAGCTGGAATGGGTATCAAATCTAGGTACGCTCATATGGGATGTGGGTGTTTTAACCATTGCCTTAATGTCTGTCCCTATAAAAATTTATTTATTTAAAATTTTTAATTGGGAGAGAGGTTTCCTGTCCACATTTCACTCCCCAAATGGCTGCAACAGCTTTGACTGGGCCAGGCTTAAGCAGGAACCTGGTACTCCATCCAGATCCTCCCTTTGAATGGTAGAGACCCAAGTCTTTGAGCCATCATCTGTTGCCTCATAGGGTACACGCTAATAGAGTGGAGCTGGGGATTAAACCCAGATACTTCAGGATGGGATGCTGGCATTCCAAACAGAGTTGTAACTGCTGTGCCAAATGTTCTCCCCAAAAAATATTTTTTTAAAAACTAATTTTTTTTAGAACAGCTTTAAGTTTGCAGAAAAATTGAATAGAAAGAATAGTTTCCATAACACCTCTCCCTAACTCCCTCCGCTCTTGTAGTATTAACATCTTGCTTTATTGTGATAGTTTGCTGTAATTGCTGAGCCAATAGTGATATATTATTTTTAACTATGTCTGTAGTTTGCATTATTCTTTTTTATATATTATATGGGTTTTGACAAATGCAAAATGACAAGTATATCATTACCGTATCATACAGAAGTTGTATGCTGTTGCTCTAAACAGCAGCTGTGTTCACACCTGTTCATCTAAGGTTTCCTCTTCTAGGGGCTTGACAACCACAGATTTTTTTTTCTGTTTTTATAGTTTTGCCTTTCTAGAATGTCATAGAGTTGGACTCATACAGTGTATAGCCTTTTCTATAAACAGATTGGCTTCTCTCACTTAGTGATAAGCATTTGTTATTCCTCTGTGTCTTTCCATGACTTGATAGTTCATTTCTTTTTAGTGCTGAATAATATTCCATTGTCTGGCTAAGGAAATTTATCCATTCAACTCCTGAAGGATATCTTGTTTGCTTCAGATTTTTAGCAGTCATGAATAAAGTTGCTGTAACACTGCTCTGCAGGTTTTTGTGTGGACATAAGTTTTCATCCTTTTCCAGCATATACCGATTGCTGGATCATATGGCAAGAGCACACTTAGTTGTGAAAAGAAAAAACAAAAACGCCAAATTGTCTTTCAAAGTAGTTATATCATCTTGCATTCCCACTAAGCACTGAATGAGGATTCTTGCTTCCTTGACTATATTTGGTGTTGCCAGTATTTTGGGTTTTAGCCATTCTAATAAGTGTGTAGTGATGTCTCATTGATATCTTAATTTGCAACCCTCTGATGACATATGATGTTGAGCATCTTTTCATATGCTTATTTCCCATCTGCCTGTCTTTGAAGAAGTGTCTGTTCAGGCCTTTGGCTAATTTTTAGATTGGATTGTCTATTGTTGTGGAATTTTAAGAGTTTTGGATACCAGTGTTTATCAGATGTTTGTTTGCAAATATTTTCTCCCAATGTATGCCTTGTCTTTATTTTCTTAATTGCTTATTTTCTGTGACTTTCATAGAGCGGAAATTTTTAGTTTTATCCAAGTCTGACTTTCCCGATTGAAAAACCAAAGAATTGTGTTTAAGTATTGTATTCAAAAGTCATTGCCAAATCCAAGGTTATCTAGGTTTTCTCCTTTGTTATCTTCTAGGGGTTTTATATTTGTGCATCAGTGAATCATTTTTAATTAATATTTGTTAAAGTATAGGCTCTGTGTATAGCTTCATTTTTTGCTTTTGTGTGTCCAAGTGTTTGGCACCATTTGTTGAAAAGACTGACGCTGGTGCCAGCATTGTTGCACCGTGGGTTAAGTTGCCACTTGTAATGCCAACATCCCGTATCAGAATGCTGATTTGAGGCCTGGCTGTTCTGCTTCTGATCTAGTTCTCTGCTCATGTACCTGGGAAAGCAGTAGAGGATAGCCCACATAGTTGGGCCCCTGCCAGCCACATGGAAGACCCAAATGTAATGCTTGGCTCCTGCCAGCCACATGGGAAACTGAGATGAAATTCATGGCTCCTGGTTTTAGCCTGGCCTTCACCTGGCTGTTCTAGCCATTTGGGGAGTGAACCAGCAGATGGATGATTTCCTTCTTTCTCTGTCTTCCTCTGTCTCTGTCAGTCTGCCTTTCAAATAAATCTATAAACAAGAAAAAGAGAAGATGACTGACCTTGTTCTAAGAATATCCTTTGTTCCTTTGTCAAGGATCAGGAGAATATATTTGTTTGGGTCTATTTCTGGGCTCTCTTGTTTTGTTTCATTGATCCTGTTTTTTCTTTCACCAATATCACACCATTTTGATTATTGAAGCTTTGTAATACATTTTGAAGTAGAGAAGTGTCAGTCAACTTTGTTCTTTTCTTCAGTATTATGTTGAATATTCTGGTCTTTTGCCTCTCTGTAGAAGCTTTAGAATCAGTCTGCCAGATCCACAAAATAACTGGCAGGGATTTTTTAAAAAGATTTATTTGAAAAGGTTACAGAGAGAGGTAGAGACAGAGAGAAAGAGGTCTTCCATCTGCTGGTTCACTTCCCAAATGGCCTCAATAGCCAGAGCTGAGCCGATCCAAAGCCAGGAGCCAGGAGCTTCTTCTGGGTCTCTCTCTTCTGGGGCCATCCTCCACTGCTTTCCCAGGTACATTAACAGGGAGCTGGATCAGAAGTGGAGCAGCTGGGACTCGGAACTGGTGCCCATATGGGATGCTGGTGCTGCAGACTGGGGCTTTAACCCACTGTGCCATAGCACTGGCCCCAGGGATTTTTTTTTTTAAATAAAGATTGATTTAAAAGTCAGAATGACACAGAGAGAGGGCAAGAGAGAGATCTTTCATCTGCCAGTTCACTCCCCAAATGCCTGCAACAGCCAGGGCTGGGCCATGCTGGGGCTAGGACCTCCATCTGGGTCTCCTATGTGGTGGCAGGAGCCCAAGTACTTCAGCCATCATTTCTTGCCTTTTCAGACACATTAACAGAGAGCTAGATTGGAAGTGGAGGAGCCAGAACTCAAATTGGGAATCTCACAGGGGATTCAGACATCCCTAGCATTGGCTTAACC